AATGTAACGTTGAAGAAACGCCACGTTTTCTTGCATCAGACGGTTCCTTTTTAGAGGAACAGTTTGTCGATATTGACAATTAAACATACCACTGCATGTTTTTGCGAGTCTTCCCATACATTTCACTGAAATGTACCCTGTCACAAAAGGACTTAGTCATGTGATATCGCAGTCTGAACACCGTGGCGCGATGTAAATTTAGTTGGTTTTTTTTGTCTTTATGCAAACGTCAAACCTATAAAACATTTGCGTACAGTCGACCCTCGCAGGATTTCGCAATTACTGGTACATTCTTTTTCAAAATCGTTCAGCCCTCCTACATAAGGCTTGAAAGCATAATTTGAAACCCTAAAACGACATGATTTTGTTGTTGTTTTTTTAAAAATATTATTGATAAGTCTTTTTGATTGTTACCAGCTCTTCCTCAGCATGGACTTTAGAGCGGGCCGTGTAGCTCTGACGTGAGTTGTTGAAATAGACCACCTCGCCTTTAGGGCTGACTCCCACTGGAAAAACTGGCACCCCTTGTTTTTGTTTGGCCCTGCCCTCCTACCGCTACCTGAGAGATGGCCGGCGCAGCAGTAGAACCCCTTCCCTTGGTTGGGTCCCCCATTGGACACCTGCAGATGCTTGGCGCGGCGTCCACAGTCGCAAAGCGGCGAAGTCATCTTTCCATTGATCGACAACGCGGGGAGGACGCCCCTGTTTGGCTCCCTGGAGACGCCATTGCAACCGGGACGCGAAATGGTGGAGTCAGGGGTGGGTTTCTTCTCTTGGATGAAGAAGCATTTCGGATTGAATATGTAGGGTGTGTTTGATTTTGTCACCAGTGGAGCCTCATGATCCTGCGCGTCGTAATCCGAAACAAGCCCCTCCTGGGAGGCCTCCAGAACCACGTCGTCATACGTTGACCGGTCGTCATCTTCCACGGAGAAGTCCTCGACACTTTCAGAATTTGAGGTTGGAGGTTCGAGGCTACCAAGAATGGTGGAGCACAGAACCAAACCCTTGTTGTTTTTGCGGATGCCCCACAGTGGTGTTGTCTTACCGTCCAGAACTGTCTTTGGGGACACCAGACTCTGAACAGAGTCTCGGTCATCAAGGTTCAGGACCAGATTCTTATTCCCAGTGGACGTTGTTTTATTTTTTGCAGTCTGATGGTTTCCACTGTTCTGATCACAGACTTTTTCGATGTTTTTTGTTAGCGTTGATTTGACTGCCGCTGGGGTCTGTCATAAGAGAAGAACCGTTAGTACATTGGTAGCAGTTTGGAAATAGTGAAGAATTCTTCAAAGACTTTGAGATGTTGATTGTCACTTCTAGTTGAAGTTTACTGTACTCTCAAACTAAGCATAAAACAAAGATTGTGCATTTCAACTAACCACAATCACTAAAGTCAGTTAGCTTAATGCTAACATACAAGACAAAATGCCACTGATGAGCTAACGAAACATGCATCAATATAAGAGGGTATGGAAGCTTGAACACAAGCAGTCCCGCATCACATGTAGACAGGCGATATGAAAATATTCAATGCATATATTCTATATTGTCTGCGAAAAGGACAAATGTTACCGCAGCTTACTAAGGAGTAAAGTGTACGCATGTCGTACTGCACCCCAGTGGCCAAAGTGCACACATCAAAAGGAGCAGCACAATGAATTAAAACACAGTTTTGTCTGAATAAGTGTTTCATTTTGTAAGTTTAAAAAAAAAAAATTATTCTGGTACAACTACAACTTTATTCTTGTGAAGTTGTACTCATCACATTATGGATTTAATATAAATCCAGGCTTTATATATTAGGAAAACTACAAAATTTGTCTTGCTTTTTGGTTTTATTGAAGTCAAATGGAAACTATTGGCAATAATACATTTTAATAAGGTAGATATGAAAAATAAAGTATATCTGTGTTTTTAAAATTATTTTAAGAATCCATGTACAATATTTATATATTCAGTATGTTGTTGTTTGATGAATGTATGTCGATGGAACAGCATCAGTGTCTAAAAATCACCTTCAAAACAACAGAGCATTAATAAAATAAAATTAAATAAAAATCCATGTTTCTTTATTCATTAAAAAAAAAACTGAGGCATGCTACGGGGAAATCGCAGGCAGGAGGCGCGGCTTCAGCAAACAGGGCGTGAGGTGGGACGTCCACTCACCCCCTCCAAGCTTCTTGTGATCTTCATCACGCATCCGTCCCTCATCATCCTCGCCGCCAGCCGAGCGGTGTTCCTGGCATCATCCAAACCTAATCACAGGCGAGTCGTGCATACATTTCAGACGAAGAGTGATTGAGTTTGAGTTGAGGTGAAGCGACTTTGCGTACCGGAATGTTCTCTGCCAGAAAACTGTATTCCCAAATCTTGTAGCGCGCCATTCAGACCTTTGGGTTTCCTGCTGTAGAACATCTACAAAAGACACAAATCATGTTTAAAAGCCTCATTTTTTAAAATCTCAAGATATTATGGTTTTATTTCAGTAGATTAATGATTGACTTTGAAAGTTGATGGTTTCCCCCTCTTCTGCCACGGGTTTTATTGGAGTAAAATGAATACAGTACTTTGTTCTTGTAAATACAAGGTTTTTCATTCTTGTAAAAATTATGAATTGAATGATGACACATTTTAAAAATGTTTCCTGAATAGTGGTTTTTGATTTCTTGAAAATCTTTATTCTGGTATAATTTTTTAATTTTTTTTAATCGAAATACTATGGTTTACTCTGGTAAAATGATAGCTTTATTAAAAAACAAAACATGTTTTTCCTCTCCCTGTCTAGTTTTACTCAAGTGAAATTATGACAAATGTTGTGGAATTGCACTCCCCCCCTCACATCATGATATATTTTTATAGAAAGATGACACCTATATATTTGTAAACTTAATATTTGACTCATTTCATTATTGTTTTTGTTGCTATGAAATGATAACTTCATTCTCATAAATATCTCTGAAGAGCAATTTTTTTCTCATAATCCTGTTTTATTGTTAGAAATTTACGATTGTAATCTTTTGACTTCTAATTTCTAAAAACTTTTTTTGTCATACAATAAGTTTTGTGTGTGTGTGTGTGTGTGTGTGTGTGTGTGTTCCAAATGAGTGTAACATTAACACACCTTTGTCATAAAAAGTGCAAAATGAACTTACCCTGTATGTGTTCCTCAAGTCGATCCAGCTATTGAGCACGTCAAGTTTGTGGATCTGCTTGCGTTTACACTCATAGTGCAAACAAACGCCCAGATCCCAATCTGCAGTGTATTCTATTTATTAATACATGTTTATGAAAAATGCACGTTTGAAAACAAAATATGTCACCTGACCACGTGAGGAAAGCACAGAGCTTTTGTACGGGTGACTCAGTGGGGGAGCTCAGTTGCCCAGAGGGAAAGACCACGGCCTTCTCGAGGCGGAGCTTCTGCAGCCAGCGGCCGAACTGAGACAGACAAATACGGAGGGGCACCCCTGCCTCCACCTGGGTCTGTAGGACACACACACACACACACACACACACTGTAACTGTATGGTTTTAATCTTCAAATATTCTGTACTTCTTGAACAATTATAATCCCCACCCTCGTAAATATTCTGAATTTATTCTTGTAAAACTGGACCCACCCCCACCTACTACTACTCTTTTGTGGCGTGTTGTTTTGTTCCGTTCTTTTACATCTTTGCAGTCACCTGTGTGATCCCAGTTAGCTCGGTGCAGAAAGCTGACAGTATTGGACGCTCCTGGGGTTGAACGTAGGCGTGAAACTCGGACTCAATCTCCCCCGTGGACGTATTGAGAAGGACAGCGGGGAACTCGACTGCGTCAGAAAAGTATCGATGAATAAATGAGAACAATAAAGATGCAAAAACACCAATACGGAACCTTTTGAAAATGAAAACGTACTTATTTCCTGAGTGTGGTTGTTTTTCTCTCGCCAGCACGTGGACTCAAAGTCAATGATGATGAGGTATGAAAATGATTGATCTGATACAAAATATTCCATACACCATGTTATGAAAGGCCACGTTCGAAATGATCACGTTTGTTTAATTGCGTTACTAACTTGACAGCAGAGTCTTTTTTTGCCCAGCGGATGACTGACTACGCTGCCTCAGCAGTCCTAATTCTCTGTGGACACAATTATAAGAATATACTGTAAATAGCATACACTTGTCTATTACTGTCGTGGCGTGACCTATGACATGAACCAACAAAAATACCCCATTCATTCGATGTCGACACATTAATCCAAACATCATTATTTGTTTGTTTTTATTACACAGCACTTTGAGTTGCATTTCTATGTATGAAAAAGAGATCTGATTAAATAAGTGCCCTCTCACAGACACAATTTCACAAAATAGAAAATGACAAAGATTTTAATTGATTGCTCAATCTCACATCTGGTGGGCGATTAAGCACTCCAGAGATTCGAATATTGGGATACAAGACATTAAAAAGACAAGTGTACGTAATGTGTCCCCATTTAAAATATAACAATGGGTTGACTTTCGTTGACTTAGCAGCAACACACTAAACGGTTATTCCTCAGTTTATATCGATACTCACTTGGCTAGTTTCTTTGTCGACATTTCCGCCACTTGAGCTTGCCTGTGTTACTTTCGAGGCAACATTTATGGCGATATTGAAGGTTTAGGCGAGGCTATCTTGAGCGAATTGCGCTTTTTTTTTTTCAAACGAGTAGTATCCATGATTCTGTGTTCGGCTCGTTTGGTCGTCACGGCAGTGAAATCGATAGCAGAGTCGTTCAAGGCGGATGTATAAATCATGCGTCTGCAATGAGCTTCAAATTAAAGCTGTACCGTTCGGATTTCAGCGTGTTTATCCTGTGAAATACCTTCAAAAATGGTAAATAATCATTAAATATATATATATTATTTAATTCCGTTTGAAAAAGAAGCTTAAAACACAAGCATTTTCATCAATGTTTTTTAGTTGAATTTATTTTGAAAGTCCTCAAACAAACGTGATCTTACCTGCTTCCCGCGTCAGGAAGCTTGCATTTCACCCCCACGTGTTTTCCATCCATTTTCAACCCTGTTTACCCTGAAATTTTGAGACAAGCAACCATTCCAACGTGTTTTAATCGAAATATTAAACTTGTGAATTTGGAAGGCGCCGGAATGTCATAACACGGTAACTAAGTAAGTATTTTACATTTTATTTTAGTGACTTAACATCCTGTAGATCGTAAGCCGAATAAATCTTATACTTACCCACTCATGTTGTCACAAACTTAATCATCGACTTGCGTATTAACTCACATCACAATATTACTCAGTAACTCACTCATTTATTCAGTCAACAACTAATTAACTCACTAACGAAATAACCCATTCACTCCTTAATCCACCACCAACTCACTGTCCAACTCACCAATGCACATCATAACTTAGTCACGCATCAGTCTTAAGTCACTAAATTACTCTCTCTCACACTTACTAACATACCAACCGTCTCATTCATGAATTAACACAGTCCGTTACATCATGAAATGTGGCAAAGTCAAAGTTCAGCGTTTCAGGCCGAATCGAGCTGTAAATGACATTTGTGTTTGTTTTCCATGCAGATGGAGTTTGGCTGTAAAATGGAGTCCTCAATATCAACGCTCACCAACGGAAAGAAAAGGAAAGATGATCCGGATCATCATCATCATGGCCACCGCGCGGCAAAGAGGGTCAAAAGCAAACCTGCTGGCGCTGATGAGCTGGAAGAAGTTGAACCGCGAATCTCTGTGCTTCCCGACCGCCTGCTGCATCCCATCACGGCCAAGGAGCTGATGGAGCTCCTGCACTATGCTGCTCTAGGGAAGAGCAACGGAGTCAAACAGCCAAGGTCACCATAGATTCATTCATTCATTCGTTAGCAACTTGGTGAGTGAATGATCGAGTGAGTTGGTGAATGAGTGAATTAATGAGAGACTTAAAATCGTGCATGAGGGAATTCATTTAGGTGTTGGTGAGGAAGTCAGTGAATGTAATTGTGAGTGAATTCATGAGGAATGTGTTTTGATTCAACGTTGTAGTTCTGTGTGTGTTGCAGTTGGTGTGGTCTCCGTGGACAAAGACGTATTGAAGGCGTCAATGTAGCGGTGGTGGAGGGTGTTAGCCAAAGTGACTTTTACAAACATTACCTGACTCTCAGGAACCTGAGGACCAAGTACAGCAATGTAGGTACTAGTCGCTAACAAGTCGGCATGATTTGCAGATGGACATTGGTGATGTCAGAATTGTTTTGTTTGTGTTAGAGGTTGAGCTTCATGTCGTCAAATAGCAGCAGCAGCAGCCTCCTTTCTACAATATTCAGCAGTGAAGTGGACTCATTCGCACAACCGTCTTTATCAATGGAACAAAAGCGCAACATCAAGATAAACAATGGTCAGCATTAAACACTTCACTCACACATTCACTAACCAACTGTGTCTTTCACAAATTTTACTCACCAACTAACTAATTTCTTCCTCAACAAACTCATTTAATCACTCGACCAACTGACTCTTAAATTGATTTATTATGTCGCTCACTAACCAAGTCACTCACTCCCAAACTAAGTCACGGGTCTAACGTGTCACCCTAACTCGTTCACTCATCAGCTCACCCGTCACATGAACCAACTCACCAACTTGCTCTCATTTCAGTCATCAAATCAAGTCTCTCAATAATTCATAGCAAATTTGCAAAGATTTCCTTTTTTTCTTTTCAAACCTTGACCACAAAGTACAATAAGATTCAACCAACTATTTAACACAACTAACTCATTCAACATGCGTTTGTGTGTGGCAGTGCTGAGTCATCACCCGGTGGTGCACAAGTACGGTACGACAAAGCGTGGCCTAACGGCCTACGTGCTCACCCAGGAGGAGTTAATCCATGGGCATTACCCCGTAAAAGGTGATTGGTTGCCACCTCCCACATCCTTCACCGTCCACGTGTTTGCCCTTTCACTTCCTGTTGATCACTCCCCATCGTCTGCATCAGGACTGCCGGGCTTCGAGGACTTTCTGGCCCTCTACAGCACTGACATCACGGATAGCAGCCCTCTCTTTGGATTAGACTGCGAAATGGTGAGATGACTTCCTGGTTTAACTCATTCCCCCTCTGAGCCTAAACCAATCAGTTATTTAATGACAATCATGTGACACAGTGTCTTACCGAGATGGGCTACGAGCTGACCCGAGTCTCCTTGGTGGATGGCGACGGGAAATGCCTGATGGACGAGCTGGTTAAACCTCACAACAAAATACGAGACTACCTCACTAAGTAAGCACGGTCAAGCTACCAATTTGTCATTCAACGTAAAGACTAAAAAAACAGATTCAACCCAATAAAAAATACCCAAGCATAAATAAATATATTTAAAACATAATTAGAATTGCACCAAGTTCAGTTACTGTTACACAATTTAGTTGTTTGGTGATTTTGTCTTGCAAGTTAGTTTCTAGATACCTAGCTATTTTTTTGAGTCTTATATTAATATGGTAATGAGCAATGAGTAGTTGTTTGGGCAGTTATTCAGTCCGCTACTGAGTTACCTAGTTGACTTAGTATGTTAGGTCTGCTCAGTTTGTTGGCTCTTTATTCTGCTTTGTATTTTGGTAGTTTAATAGTAGCTTACTAGCATCCAGTTTCTTCCTTGGTTAGCTAGCTCTCTCTTAGTTATTCTGCTAATTAGATACAGTAGTTGATAGATAGCCGGTCAGTTGTTTATCTAATAATCTGGTTACTTAGGTAGTTTGTTAGGTAAATCACAAAAGTGAATTGGCTTGGCATCGAGTCAGTTAACTTGATGCATGCCGAACGAGTTGATCTCTTGTTTGACTAGTTGATTCACTGTTCACCTGTTTGGGTAGCTATTTTATTAACTACTTATTTAGCTAGATTTGTCAAGTGGTTGGTTAATTTATTGCTAGTGAGCTATTTTGTTAGCTAGCTAGCTAGCTACTCACTTGATTGGTCACTTCGTGAGTTGATTAGTTAGCTATTTTGGTTAGTTTGATAGTAATGTATCTCAAAATTTATTTAGCTACTTAGCTAATTTGTTTACTGGTTAGATGATTTGATATTCTGCTGTTACATATATAATTCGTTAGCTAGCATGCTGCATGGCTACTTAGCCGAGTAGTCAGTCAGCTAGTTATTTGGTTACAAACTTATCTCATTTGTTAGTTGCCTACCTAGCTAGTTGATGAGGTGATCGATTGTTTAGTTAACCCACTAGTTGAATAAATTAAAAAAAATGAAGGTAGAATGGTAGCTCGTTCAAGGCGGTTTTTACTTATTAGGATTACAAAATAAACTTACCGTGGACAAAAGGTATGTACAATATTTGTGTCCCATTGTCAGTTTCTCTGGCATCACGGCGGCCATGTTGGATCCGGTCAAGACAACGTTGCGCGACATCCAAATGAAGCTGTTAACGCTGTTGCCGATTGACGCCGTCCTGGTGGGTCACTCCATCAACAAGGACTTGGAGGCTCTTCGAGTATGTGGACACACGCAAACAAATCCAACTCAAGGAAAAGCGCTCCAAAACAAAAAGTGTGTGGTATATGATCCTCAGGATTTGTTGTTATTTTTGCAGCTGATCTACCCTCACGTTATCGACACATCGCTGCTGTACGCTAGGGAGCTCGGGAAGCGATTCAAGCTGAAGGTTCTGGCTGACGTGGTGCTCGGCCGGCGGATCCAGACGCAGGATGAGAAAGGACACCATCCCTTGGAGGACGCCTTGGCCGCCCTTGATCTGGCCAAGTACTTAATAAGCAAGTCACCTCTGAAGGTAACAACAACCAAAGCAATACCCAAAGATACACTATCGATTGTGAGGGTGATTACTTTTTTAGGTCGCCAGTTTGTTCATCAGCCGGGTAGTTTGGTTTGTTAGTTGGTTACTTAGCTTGCTAATTTAGAAGATTTAGTCAGTTACTCTACGTAGGTTTAATTTATTTACAATCTCGTTAGCATACAACTAGCAGGTGGTGGTACTTGGCTGTTGATAGTTTTGTTAGTTATCTGGTGAGTTAGCTAACATGTTGCTTAGCTAGTTAGTTAGTGAGATCGATACTTTGTTACTTTGTTGGGTGGGTATTTAGAGAAATGGTGGGTAGGATAACTGATTTATCGAATGAATTGGGTTTGGGTTTGGTGTTTTTTTTTTTTTTTTTTTTACCAAGTTAGGTATCAAGTTAGTTATTTAGCAAGCAACCTATGTAGTTGTGTGGGTAATTGGTTAGTTTGTTCATGATTGTTGTTTGTCATTTGCTTTGTTAGTTAGTGTGTTAAATAATCGTTGGTTCGAGTTGGTGTGTTAGCAGCCACGCCGTAACTTACATTAGTGCAACAACTGCGCCGTGTGTGTCTGTTTTGGATCGTTCTGTCAGGTTGTTGAGGATCACCTCGAGGACCTTTGGGGTTGGTCCATAAAAGAAGATGATGAGCCCACGCCCAGTAGCAGGTGGGACGAACGCGCACAAACGCTATTGTTTGTGTCGCAGAGATGTGGTAACCTTGTCTTTCTCTCCCTGTCTGGCGTGCAGGTTTGCAGATGTGTTGCAGCATCTTGGCCGGACCGTCGGCTATGTGGGGAAACGCAGTGATTTAACCTTACATCCAGCCAATCAGCTCTGGCACAACTCGGACAAACAGGTGAGGAGGCTCCGGGCCATCAATTGGATAGATGGAAGGATGATTTTTTATTTTTTGTTTTCAAGTTGCTCTTAGTTCGGAAATTAGTCTTTAAATTAGTTGTCTGAAAGTTGGCCGGTTCGTTAGCTGGTCTGTAAATGAGTTTTAATTTGCCTGTGAGTTGTTTGGTTCGCAAGTTGGTCAGTTAGCACGTTCGTAATTCGTCTGTCTGTCTTTTTGTCGGACATTCATTTGTTGGTTTGTTGATCTGTTTGCAAAGTCGTTTTTTGTGGTCAATTTCTTGTAGCCAAACATGAATCTGCACTCAATTTCACTGCCATTTCCTCTTCCCTTAACCACCGACACAAGTTTTGTCATTTTTGCATCATCCCGAAAACAAATCAACAAACGGCTGTCAAAACAATACCTCGGGGATCAAAAACGGCAAGCTCACTTTTAGTGCAGTTCAGCTCTCCTCTTAGTGTCGTCTGTGGACTCTTGTGCAGGTCGTGGACTCTTTCCGCAAATGGAGCAAGTGTCCCTTCTTCTCTGCACTCAGCTTGTCTGGCTTCTCAGGAGTCCCCCCTTGTCAAGACCACAAGGTTCAGACTCTTTGTGTGTGTGTGTGTGTGTGTGTGTGTGTGTGTGTGTGTGTGTGTGTGTGTGTGTGTGTGTGTGTGTGTGTGTGTGTGTGTGTTTTCCCACCATGTCTGTGTGTTTGTTGGTGTTTTAGATGAGCTGGTATCTTCAGGACATGTGCGTGGTGTTTGCTGGACCGCTCCCTGCCGGCTTCTCCGAGAAAGCAGTGAGGCGACTGTTCCGCTGCTGCGGCTCAATCAGGGCCGTCGAAATGCTGGAAACCACACACAGGGTGCGTCGTACAGGCACAAGCGCAAAACCGAAATATTACCCCCCTCTGCCGGGTTTTGCATCGAAGGTCCTGTCTCGCCGTTTTCTGTAGGTTCATGCCGTGGTGGAGTTCGAATTACTCGAAGCCGCTGCGCTGGCGCTACAAATGCTAAACGGTGCCACCGTGCAGGGACACACTGTGAAGGTGAGCTTGTCAACTCGCAAGATGTCATCATTAATACAGATTGTAGTTAAAAACATCTTGGAGTGTTGCTTTTGGAGTACAGTAAAACCTCCCAACGTCCTGTGGGAATGAGTTTGAACCTGCGTGATGCCATGCACGACCTCAGTTCCGTGAGCATCAAAGGGTGACTCATTTGTTTTTTTATTTTTTATGCATTTTGGATTTGTAATTTTTTTGAAATTGTAATTCTTCTTTGCACAACATGAATAAATTTACTTTTTTTTTTCACTACAGTTGCATGTTTAACAAGGCCCCCAATTTTGACCACTTCCATTCTTTTCAAGCAAAACAACGCGAGCGTACGTATTGTGTATGTCTCAGGTTCAGAGGCCGGTGACAGAGTCCACGCTGGATTTTGACGTGACTCTGGACGCCCTGATGAGCGACGCCGTCAACGCGCGCCGTCTCTACGCGCTCAAGCTAAAATGTCACATGACCGCCAATGGGCACACACCGGACGGCAAGCTGGCAGTGAACAGCTGCCCATCCGTGTCGCTTCCCATCAAAAAGTGCAAGCTGAGCGATGAGACGCTGACGAAGACGTTTGGCCGCTTCGGAGTCGTGGAAAGGGTCGCGTTGATGGACGAACCTGAAATGGAGCCCAATTATGCCTACATACGTGAGTGGCGGAAACACGACAATAGCAACATTTTTTTTCTCCCTTGGAAGTAACATTTTCGCCAAGTTGTCATGTAGGGATTTTCTTATCACTGTCCTTTAAGTGGTGCAGCCACAAAAAAAGGTCACGATGGAGTGATACAACTTAACATTAAGAAATCATTTTTGACTATTTTTTCAATTAAAATGTGATACAATTTTCAAAATTTTGTAAAACAATGTTCTTAATTCAAATACATCCCAAAGAAATACATTGATTTGCTCTTATTTACATGTTTTATTTGTATTGTGGATTTGTAAAATAGAAAAAAATCAGTTTTATGTTCATGAATTTTTAAAATATAAAACGTGCAATTGTAACTCATTTTTTCTAATTGAAAGACTTAACAAGTGTAACTACATACAAAATATAATACATTTAAAATAAAACATAATCATGTCATAATCACACAAATGCCCAAAAATCTTTTGTTCTTATCCAATTTTAAAATATTTCAAAATCTGATTTTTTTGAGGCCTGCATTTCATATCTAAATTTTAAAATATTTATCCAACTATTTTTTTTACATTTATGTATATGCTAATATTTAAATATTCAAAAGAAAAGGTGATGTAACAGTGTGGTAAACCTGACCCTGTGTCTGTTTTTGGGGAACGCGTTGCAGCGGTAAAATTCAAAGTCAAACTTTTTTCTTTTAAGTGAATAATCATCATCAGTTCAAATATCTTGTCATTGTAGTGTATTCAATTAAATACAGGTTGAACGTGATCATTGGGTTCTGCTTTTATGTCCTAACTATATTAGAATTGGGTTTGTACGTGTTATTGTAAAATATAGTGTGTGTGTGTGTGTGTGTGTGTGTGTGTGTGTGTGTGTGT